ATGGTCCAGGTAAACTTAAGGTTGGGGTGGAAGGTGTTAGTGAAGTGTATGAACTGTTCGAGCTCCTCGTGGGAGCACGAGGCGGCGCCGATACAGTCATCAATGTAACGGAGGAAGAGGTGGGGTTTAGGGCCGGTGTAGGTACGGAAGAGGGATTGTTCCATGTAACCTACAAAGAGGGAGGTGTAGCTTGGGCCCATGCGGGTACCCATGGCTACCCCCTTTGTCTGTAGGAAGTGGGAGGAATTGAAAGAGAAGTTGTTGAGGGTGAGGACGAGTTCGGCTAAGCGGATGAGGGTGTCAGTGGAGGTGGACTGGTCGAGCCTGCGGGACAGGAAGAAGCAGAGGGCCTTTAGGCCATCTGCATGGGGAATGCAGGTGTATAGGGACTGGACGTCCATGGTAAAGATGAGGTGTTGGGGACCGGGGAATTGGAAGTTCTGGAGGAGGTGGAGGGCGTGGGTGGTGTCACGGACATAGGTAGGGAGTTCCTGGACCAAGGGGGAGAAAATGGAGTCGAGATAGTTGGAGATCAGTTCGGTGGGGCAGGAGCAGGCGGAGACAATGGGTCGACCAGGGCATTCAGGTTTGTGGATTTTGGGAAGGAGATAGAAGCGGGCAGTGCGAGGTTGGGGAACGATGAGGTTGGAGGCCGTGGGTGGGAGGTCACCTGAGGTGATGAGGTTGTGGATGGTTTGCGAGATGATGGTTTGGTGCTCAGGGGTGGGGTCATGATCAAGGGGGCGGTAGGAGGAGGTGTCAGAGAGTTGGCGTCCGGCCTCGGCGATGTAGAGGTCAGTGCGCCATACTACAACTGCACCTCCCTTGTCCGCGGGTTTTATGGTGAAGTTGGGATTGGAGCGGAGGGCTGCACGTTCTGCAGGGGAGAGGTTGGAGTGGGTGAGAGGGGTGGAGAGATTGAGACGATTGATGTCTCGACGGCAGTTGGAGATGAAGAGGTCGAGGGAGGGTAGGAGGCCTTGGGGTGGTGTCCAGGAGGAGGGGGTGTGTTGGAAGCGGGAGAAGGGGTCAGTAGAGGGAGGGTTAGGTTCACGGTTAAAGAAGTAAGCGTGGAGGCGGAGGCGGCGGAAAAACTGCTCTATGTCCAAGCGTGAGCGGTATTCGTTGATCTGTCTCAAATTTTACTTCTTTTTGTATTTGCAGCATCAACATTGCCCCCCCCCCCTCAAAAAAAATCAAGCTTTCTGTCATGCAGAGGCTGCTCCCAATCTTGTCCATGAACACAACTCCGGCACTCCATGCCTGAGTACATCTCTTCAATTAGTGATCTCACTGGGAAATCCTGCAGGACCCTTGCTCCTGCTTCAGTCACATCACATTGTTAATGTATGCTGCTCTAGACTTCCTTAATTTGAACTCAATATCTATATCTGTTTAGGGTTACAGATTCAACTCCCTCCATCTCATTTTAAACACTGTCCAAAACTGTTTCCTTATCTTTGCAAGAAATATCCTCCTCCCTATTTTTCATTCCCTCATGAATGATACGACACTGAGTGAAGGGAGAAGTGATGTACATAAATACAAAAAGCTGAGACAGTTGGCTGTTAACAGAGAGGGGTGGAACATGCTGAATCTATAATGTGGAGTTCAACTGTTCCCATTAACATTTAAGGACTGTCATGAAGTTTCAGTAATCAAAGTTTAAGTGATCTTTAATTCCTGAGGCCTGACTATCTTGATTCCAAGGCAGTAATGTGATTAATGTGGTGTAACTGTGCTACTGTTAAAGGAACTGGATGGGTGAAAACCTGCAAGTTTGTGTTCTACTTAAGGTGAAAATTATTGTTAAGTTTGTAACAAACATGCCATGTGGGCTGGTTGCTTATCTGGAGATGGTGTTTTTATCTCACTAGTCATGTGAGAGCTGGAGAACAAAGAACTAGCTGTGCAACATGTTAAAAAAAAACACTTAATGAGGCTGCCTAGAGACAACTAGTCAACTGCTAAGCCTCAAGAAGGCAGGTTCTACTAATCTGGAACCAATCGTATGGGTAGCAAGTACTAAGCATGTGGACAGACATGGTAGGAAGCTATCCCAGGAACAGATTAAGGTATTAATGCGTTGAAATTTACAGCCCAAAGGACATTAAGCCATTGACTCTGTGCACCTCTTGACTGGATCAAAGCAAAGCTGATTCCACTGCCCTGGATTTTTCTTTGCTTCAAATATTCATCTATGTTTTCCTTAAAATATGCGACGGCCTCTGCTTCAACTAGCTGCCAAGGTAAAGTTTCAACAAATCTCTGGGTGAAAGGGATGTCACATAACTGCTCTCCTCACTATCACTTCCAGTATCTGCAAGTATATCATTGCTTCTGTGCATAACATGCACTCAAGATGTTTTAAATTTCCTCTACAACAAAATTCTTTTGCATTGCTTTATCTTGTGCTGCAATTGATTGCTCTGGTCATCTGTCACAGCACTAACAGTCAAATTCAATTCTAAAAGGTTATATGACTCAGTTAATCAGTGAAATACTTGTAACAAGTGAAGTTTTTAATCTCCATCACTTGAACTGTGAAAGACATTTAGTAGCACAGTTATAGATTTGAAAATCAATTTTGGGTTACATCTGGAAAGCACTTTGAATTACTTAACACAAACGTAGCATATTACTGGTTGCCGGTGTTAGCAGAAATGAGAGAAGTTTGAGGTGACATGGAACAAGTATATCGCAAACAATGATGTTTTATTTGTTCAAGTTTGTAAAACTTACTGTTATCAACAGCTCAGTACATATAGTGCCAATCCTGCACTGCAAGCGATAAAAATATACATTTCTAATACGGGTCCAAATACTCATTTTTATCTAAGAGTTACTTGAAAACGTTTCTGTAATTCGTCTCGAAGATGCAGTTGCATTTCCAATGCTTGCTGATAAGACAGTGCTTTGTCACATGACTGGTATGTTAGCCTGTAGCAGTAGCTCATATGTTTGGATTGAGTGTGCAAGAAACTGTCGATCAGCTTCATTTCTATTACCGAATCCCTGCTTACCCGCCTTACAACTGCATGGAGCTCCAACTCATCCGGTTCCCCATTCTCACTGACCCAGAAGCTTACGTCATGTGAATAAGTGGGTGGGTAGAGCGAGAACGCAGAAAATGGTTTGAATTCTGTTGCGCTAATCTGGTCGAGGAAGCGTTCATCAAATGTCCATAGCATCCTCCAGTCACTTATATGATACAGCACCATGGACAGCAGGTCAAGATTTATTGATGTAACACAGACATTAACTTCACTGTTGCTCTGTTTATTAGGAGTGCAAACCAATTTTGCAACAGTTAGATCAGTAATTTCTGGGTGTTCCATGTCTTGAAAACAAATATTCCAGCTTTTCCCACTACCCTCTTCTTTAAAAGTGATCAATTTTAAGTTCTTATCTATACAGGCCAGGGCTCCTGATGCTGACTTAATGAGGAATGAAATGGCCCTCTCCACAGAGCACCTAAATAGACTTAAAAAATCTGGATTCTTTTCGCTGTTGAAAGCACCAACCAAAACCATCTCATGGAATACTGGCATAGTTTGCGGTGTAATCAGACACTTCCTGAATACGGGACCACTGAGTGCATAAATTACTCCAACTCTGAAGTCTGGTTTTCGTAAAATATCGGTGACATATCCTGTCAGAGTGGGCCGAAGGCAGTAGCTCCTGCAATCCTCACTCAGATCAGGGATGCCAAGCTGTTTCATGGTAGTGCAGTCCATAATCTGTTCGCTCTTGTTTCCAAAGCTCCTGTCAAAGACTGGCGTAGGAACATCACAGCACTGAGGCTCAGCGCAGTCAGTACTGCTCGATTTATCCTCTTCAAGCTTGGAACAGCTCACCCAATAAAGTTCAGCTTGACCAACTTCAGATCCTGCACAGGCGCCATCAGGCTGAAGGCATTGTTTCAACAGCACAGGAAAGTTGTCCTCCAGTTCCTGTACATTCACTGTATCTGCGATCTGTTTTCTCAGCAACTTATCAATTATATTTACTGGATGGTGTGAACTTTTCTGAAGAAAATTCCTGCAATGACCAAAAGCTCCATTAGTACAACTTTACATAAGGCTTACATTTCTCCAGTTCTCGAAGGAGGATGGACTTCCCAACAGCAAGCAACTCATCAAATCTCCTTTCACATCACCTTCCAAACAGACAACTGACACACAAGTTGAAATGGTTCGTGACTGGGAAGTGCAGTTGTTTGTTGCAAACCGAGCTTAGGTGTTCCGCAAAGTGGTCCCCAAGCCTCTGCTTGGTTTCCCTGATGTAGAGGAGGCCACATCTGGAACAGCAGATACAGTATACCACATATATTTCAGAATCCCCTTCCCCTCCCCCATTTCTGAAGAAGGGTCTAGGCCTGAAACGTCAGCTTTCCTGCTCCTCTGATGCTGCTTGGCCTGCTGTGTTCATCCAGCTCTACACCTTGTTATCTACACTAGTCACACATCCTGACTTGGAAATATATTGCACTTCCTTCACTGTTGCTGGGTCAAAATCCTGGAACAGCAATGTGAATGTACCTACACTCCACAGATTGCAGTAGTTTGAGAAGACAGCTCACCACCGCCTCGTCCAAGGCAATTTGGATTGGGTAATAAATGCTAGCTTAGCCCGCAATGCTCACATCCTCTTCAACAAATTTTTTTAAGTCTCTTATGGCCAAATCTGGGGCAATCTTTACATTGTGGACATTGAACCTCTCAAAGCAGCTTCTAAAGCATAGTAGCCAAGAAGATGCTTGATGTTTGAATGCCCTAATCTGCCTTCCCATAATTTACCTTCTGGTTTCAAGCGAAAGACATTTTTCTGGCATGAAATTAGAGACCTTTTGAAACAGTTGTCAGTTTAAGATAAATATACACAAGGTAAATACTTAATATTTCTCCCGGTTTTACCCTCCTCCAACCCTGGTCACAGTCTTTGAAGCCAACAGAATTGCACACTGCCACCTTTTTGGGGATATCAAAATAATGCTTCTTAGAATTGGGACACAAATTGCCAAACAGAAGGGTTCAGCCAAAAAAAAATATTACCACCAATAGTAAAGCAAAACACTGCAGATGCCAGATATCAAATGAAAACAAAAACAGTTGTTGGAAATACTCAGCAGGTCAAGCAGTATCTGTGGAGAGTGTCAACATTTCAGGTCAATGACCTTTCACCAGAATGAAAAAAGAATAGGTAGTTTTATTAGTTCAGTGGCAGAAAAACATTTGAGTCAGAAAGTCCCATTTAAGTACCACATAAAGTGGCATCTGCTTTATTGCTGCACTGTCAAAGGAACTGTCTCTCAGATCAATCATTAAAGTGAGTGCCCATTTGCCCCCTCAGGTAACTGTAAAAGGTCACATGTCACTTTTTTAAAGTGACATGGGGGAGTTGTTCCTGGTGTCCAAGCCAATATTTATTCCTCAACCACCAATACTTACACAGATTATCTATAACCGTATCATAGTGGTAACTCATCCAGACAAATTAATCCAGAGACACAAGCTAAAGTTCCAGTGACATGTGTTTAAATCTCACCATGGCAAATGGTGAAACTTGAATTAAATCTGGATTTAAAAAGCTGTTTTAATGACAATCGCGTAACTTCTGTCAATTGTTATAAGAACCCATCTGGGTTCACTGATGAACTTTATGAAACCAAATCTGCCATCCTTAACTGATCTGGTTTACATGTGACTCCAAACCCACAGCAATGCAGTTGACTTTTCATAGCTCTCTAAGATGGCAAAGGAAGCCATTCAGTTTGAGGACAATTAGGGATGGGCAACAAATGCTAGGATGGGCAACAAATGCCAGCCTTGCCATCAATGCCCACATGCCATGCTAGAATTAAAAATAAAATCTTTTTGCCGTTCATGTGACCTTGAAATGTGCAATTTGATCACACATTCCCCGAAGTGTGTAGGAAATAACACCATTTTGTACTTTTATGCCTTTGGATTATAAGTTCCTTTTTGTGTGTTTTATAGGAAGTTATGATAGACGAAAGGTTAATTCCAAATGAATGCTTAGGACATATGCCATTTGTGATTGGAACCAAATGTAATCTAAACTGACACTGTGAATTGCAAAAATAGGTGAGATGCCCGCATTGTTACCAATGGTAAAGAGTATACTTTGAAATGAATAGATCAATGGATTTTACAGCTAGAACTAAATGAGTATAAAGCTAACTAAGTGGATAAATAGTTATACAGGAAAAAATCAGCAGTATCTAGGCTTTGAGTTTATCCTGGATGAACACAGCAGGCCAAGCAGCATCACAGGAGCAGGAAGGCTGACGTTTCGGGCCTAGACTAGGCCCGAAATGTCAGCCTTCCTGCTCCTCTGATGCTTCTTGGCC